TACTGAATAAAATTCAACTGGTTTCTTCTGCTCCGGATCGGGGCTACGACGATACATTATTGCGGTTGCACCCCCGCAACCCCGACAAAACATTGAGTGTGGTAAATTATAAATAAATTATTAATTATAAATAAATTATAATTATAGATTTATATATGAACTAATCTATATACTTTTTCTATCCCAGATAAACTTCTTTCATCATTGAGACAAATGAAATTAAAGTTTTGCGATCAATTATTTTATCCTAGTATTTACCTATTTACTTAATCTTAGAACACGCGTCAAGAATGTTTTTGTAAATTATTTTGCTAACGGGTTATTTTGTTTAAGGGATACAGGCAGACGGTATTCTGTTATAATCAAACGTAGCTCCACGAATTGCTCCCTTGTTTAACCATAGACTGGGTATTTCATTGAGGGACGTGGCCTATACTCCTGTATGACATGACATATTAATTTGCGGTTTGCCACGCCCACAACAACAGTCTACATTGCAGTGGATTATGAAGATGATAACAACGATAGATTCTAGTTACTATGCTTTGTCATTCGTAATATTTTCATTGACCTACGTCAATAAGCTTAAAATAATAGTCATTCATACTATGCATTTTCTTGATTACGGTAAATTACCGTAGAATTGTTAAGCGGGCCAAAATTTCATTAGATATATCTGTGACTAATGTCCAAAAGTGATACCTTGTTTTGATACATCGATTTTATTCTGAGTTGATCCATATACATATAGGTATAATATAAATGACAAAATTTTACCTCATCCAGAGTGCCTTACTCTGGGTAAGATCACTCCTTTAGCTCGTGGTAAAATCGTTGTGGTATCGACGAGTGGATCGAGATAAGTATTGGAGTCTTTGTCTAGATAGTGGAAACAAAACAGGGCGTGAGCGAAGGTCGAATGATATTAGAAGAGTATCTGCGTATCTATACCAATATTATGAAGAGGTAAAAATTGTAAGTTTCTATGTAGGGGGTAATCTTTGGAACCGCTGTTCGGATTGCCAAAATTCTTTCACTGATAGATAGCTACAATGTTCCTGCTATAGGCTATAAAACATCACGCTAAGATTGAATGGAGCCAAGCAGAGGGTGAAACCGCAAGAGAGTAGCTAGTAATTAGTAAAACACATTTTCTTACTTAAAACCCTTAATAACTACTTTAAAAAAAAAAGAAAAACTGCTTCAATATACGTAGTTCACACTAAAAATAAGCTTTGGAAAACCTAACGAACTACACCAAACTGATGCTTCGTGATTCGTGCTTATGCACTTTGAGGTTTGTGGCAAGGGAAAGTCTCCATACCAAATATCTCAGAGATAGTAGAAAATAGGCATACCTACACTGACGGATGAAAACATCTAACATCGAAACCGCACTTTAATAACAACCAATATTTTTACTAGCCTTTTAGGTCGTGCTTGACAACACCTGCTTATTTAGCAATTAGCTTTTGCCCGCTCCTATGCTCAGTTCATGTTAAATTCTGAAGAACAACCGGATAATAATACACAACTATAGAAAATATTATATGTATTTTCAGTATAAATATAATGAAAATAATATTATTATTTTGGCATTTAGCAAAGATTTATTTAGAAAAGACTCTGTATTTTAGTTTTCTACTTTTGTTTTTTGCAAAAATCCCATACCCTATTTGAATGTATCCTTTCTACGCTCTACCTCTCTTCCGCGAAATCGATTCAGTCGTTCTCGGGTTATGTGTAGTCTAACTTACTGTCATCTTTCGTAAATACCAATACGTATAGAAAAATATAAATTATGAAGTACTATTACCATGTTAATGAATGATTCGTGCAGACTTGTTCTTGTAATACTTATTTATACAATAATTTACGCAATGACTTATTTTTCATAACTCTTCAACTAAACTACATATATGTAATTAACTAAAGTTTTTTTACCGAATCCCCTTTATACAAAATATCGATAAAATTAGGCTCAACAGTTTATTAGCGAATGAAATCTTTAGTACTAAGTAGTTTCGACAGTTGGACGGATGTGAAAAATTCTTTTTGAATTTAATTACTAGGTACCTACAGATAGACTTTAAATCTTGATAATGGTTTGGTATCGTTAGGTATGGAGATGCCGGAAAACAAAAATCAATCGTTATATGCATACACATGGGTAGTTATTAGTGATATCAGAATGGCCTCTACCTTTAGGTCATGTAGAGTAAGTACTAAAAGGCACTAAAATATTTCTTCCCGAGAAATACGGGGAAGTAATAACCACAGGGTTTTTGCGGTACCTACAGATTCGAGAACATACCAACTAGGCACCCACACTTAAGCGAAAAACGTATTCCTTTTTAAAATCGAGTATCGACTAGCTATTAAAATTTGGAGGTAAAATCAGTTTTTGTCATTAGAGTTTCTTTTAAAAATATTTCAGATGAAGATTGGTTGCTAGGTAAACAAATGTTATGTAAGTAATTAGGAAAAGACTTCACGTTACATCTACAGATTTAATCAACTTATCAAATCCATACAGGTAGTAACTAGTAAAATCTGCTTTTAACACGTAATTGGTAGGAAAAACCCAATATCAGCTTAGTATGAATAAGTCCAAATCAGAAGTGTGATTTCGTAAAAGTCGATTTAAAACCACGTATACTCAAGTAACAAGTTACAGCCAGGTTTTAAAATAAACAGGACTTTTTGGAATTCACATTTCCCCTAATTCTCGGAGGTTTGGATAGCGCAGGAAGAAATGCCCCTGTGATGATCACCTGGTAAAGCGTAGGGTCTTCGGGAAAAGGATGGGTATCAACCTCTTAACAAAGCTGTGCAAGTTTTGTTTTGTACTGGAAAGCTGACTCCTACATCTGCGAAGCAGTCATACTATCAAAGAGGAAAGCCAAGCACATGGGAGAACTAGCCTCCTCTACCAGCAAACTAGCTGCAAATGACGCCTCCGGCGTCGGGGATCTCTCGCGACAATCTCTGGCCACCGTAAGCGTGTCCGACCAGTACCAAAGCCAAACAAACGCGCTTCATTTAACTATCAGACATCTACAGATGGGCAAACAATAGCCTATGCCTATCCAGCGTCCGGCACTAGCGCCGATGCCTGTCAGGGGTTGCAGGCAAAGCATAATAAGATACCCGTGGCCATACCTGGGACATGCTAAACCGGTGACTTTTAGTCACTACGCCTATAATTTAACCTCCTCAAAAAAAACTGAATAATAAGATGGTAGAGGTTTTATCTACTCTATGAACCAAAGTTGAGTCCACATTATTTCAAATTAATTGATCAGTTATCATTGGTATTATTCTTGTGGCATAGGTACTAAGTGTACCTGTTCTTATCTATTTAGTAACAATATTTTTTACATTTTATCAATAGATAATAAGGAGTAGATACGGGAGAATTAACGAAAGATCTGTCCTAGAGATAAAAACACATCAAAAGAAAACATGTTTATGTAATGTAACTGACTTGATAATGATAACAATTATTCTACTATGTTGGATGTAGCAACAGCGATTTGGTACTTTAAATATTGTGTTAATTTTAAGTACTCATAATGTTATATGAAACTACTTACTTCATAGGTAACTTTTATTACTTAAGGACAGTTCTATGGGTCCTTAACAAGTTCCAATAGATATTTTTTTATAAAAATATTATTATTTTTTTATAAATACAGATTTTATTTCTTTTTTTGGTAAACAGCTATTAATTGACCATACATGCCATAAAAACAATAAGAATACATTATTATAAGATATTTTAGGATAAGTATACTATGGTAAACTTCTAATAAGATATCTATTTGACAAAAAACAACAAAAAACTATCTTATATTCAGTTTTTTTTTTGGCATTTAGCCATTTAGTAGTGGTAATTGGAGACACAATAGTAAGACAATAGGTGTGTGAATGCAGACACTTGCTGGGGATTTGATTATGAATATAACATAAATGATTCTGAATATTATTACACTAGCTATCATGTGGTTTCACCTGCTGTTCGGCTCCATTTGATTGTAGGGTGATGTTTTACATCACTTTGTTTTTATTTCTACACATCAAAAAGAAAATAATAACATACTTCTATGTGTAAAATTCTAAGGCTACCCACTGACCAAATTGTATTGAAAGGCCTATACGGCTATACCGCCTATAGCAACAAGATAAAAAATGTTACTGCTGCATTGAACTAACCAACCGGAGCAGAGCAGAATTAAAAATACGATATGGTGTTTTGTTTAACACTCGTGATCTCATCATAACATTCGTGAGGCCTTCGTAAAGCAGGAGAATAAATCATACGGATATTAAACGGTAAAAAATCTTCCACGTCCTTTCATACCTACACAGTTAGGTACTATCAACAAGATTGTGAATGAGTACGTGTGAATACGTACACTGATAATGAAAATCGATTTTTATATAAACTGATCCGAAGTACAGAAAACAAATGCGGCCGTAAAAACATTAAATATTACTCACAGTTTTAAGTTTCTTCTTCGGTCCTGATGGTCCGTCCATTTTATTAGATATCCGAATACCACTGATCGTTTTAAAGAATTTTTAAGTTATAAAAAATAGTTTTTACTTTATTGTTTACAGAAACCGCATATTTTTCTCGCAAAGGTAACGTGCTTAGTATCAGCTATTTCCAATTATCAGCAGCAGCAGTACGAGGGGGTGACCGACTATCAGAGGGGGCCGGGCCGCGCGGTAGGCAACCGAGAATTTTAGACTTTGACAGTGACAGAAATGACGTGACATCCAAGGCACTGACAGCACATATTTCGTTCATGAATATTATTAGGCTTATTTAGAAGTGATAGAAATATTGTGATACATTTATTTATATTTGTATATTTTATGTTGTTAATTGCCAGGAGTACACTAGATTTGTAAAGAATTAAAATATTAATGAAATTATTAAAATAAAAATACCATAGACGGCCTTATTTAAAAAGGACCACAGACAATGTAAATATTTGTAAATGTCTGCTGCTGTCGGTCGCTGTCTAAGTTAGTCTCAAAATACGTAAAATCCATAAGATTTTGGGAGAATACTCAGGTTAATATATTAAAGCGCAGAAATATTATTCTAAAAATATTTTCCGCTAGAATATGTTGACTTAAAACCTTAGATAGGACCAAGAAACTTGTACACGTAGTGTTAATCTATGTTGGTTTCGTATTGGTGTTCAACTCGATCAAAATGCCTGCTGTAACTGCTCCTTCGGTGGAAGAGCAAAATGAAGCCGACCAAAAGATGTGGAGCGCATTAAAGCGCTACATAATACGCGAAAGACAAAGAAAAAAGGAGGGTAATATTTTGTTTATAAAATATCAATCAATAAAATAATACACACATATTTTTCATAACAGAAATTAGAAGAAACAGTTTTGCTTGTACCTTTATTCTGATTAATTAAGGGGCAGTTGATAGCTTCAGGGACAGAAATTTAATCCTTACATTATTTTTGAAGATCACTTTTAATCCTAAATAAGTACCCTTGTTATCATATCATAAGCCCAAACTCAATATGTTTACTTGTAGTTAAAGTACTGGAGACCACATTCCAATTACAGCTTAAAAAGGCACTAGACTGTAGCATAATTATGTATAATCATCTGCACTGTGAACACAAGCTATCATTGTAGCCTAAGCTACAATATTTCACTGAGCACTTGCCCATTAGAGCTGGAAAATGTTTTAATTTATTATAGTTTGTATTTTGTAGTTATAATTTACTGTCACAGTGCAAGTTTGCGTTTTTCATTTTGTAAATAAAATTCCATTGATGTGGGATGCAAGCACAATAAAGTGGTTTAATGTTATATGATTTCTGTTGTATTTTAATATCATATTTTTTTTTTAAATCATTCGAATACAGGTAACTCACATGATTTTAAATGATTTCAGAATATGAAGCGGAAGTGGAAGAGGAGAGATTGCGAAAGGAAAGGGAAGCGAGAGAGAGGCAAGATGTCATGACACTTGGTAAAACAACTTTTCATATATATTTAAACTTTTAATTGTGGTAATTAGAGACTTAATAGTAAGACCATAGGTGTGCAAATCGAATGCTGGTGTTTGCCTGGGGTTTGATGAATTACCATAACTAGTTGACTTGGTTGTCTTCAATGCCTTAACTGTACTTTGGTTTCTTGTCAATTATCTAATTTAACATAAAGAGCAGTTGGTATGTTTTGTAAGAATATTTTTTTGTATTTTACAAGCAATTTCAATATTTTCTTACTGTTTGTTTTCTGGACTGCCACAAATATTTCAAGAACAAGAATAACTAAACCTAAAAACAGCTCTTGCTACACTGTACATTCGTTATTGTGCTAGTGCTGCAAGAACAGGTAGGTACTACTCTTGTTTCACAATACATAGCCACTGTGTCCCAAGTTATACATGGTAATTTGTTCAAACTAAGTCTTGTAAGTTTTTTGAATACTTGATGAAGGTTTTGAAACTAGCTCTCAGGATCTGCATCCGAAAGGCAGACCACTAAAGTGGTTGCTCCCAATACAATAACCATTAGTATAAATATACCAATTGAAATGTGTCCATTTAAAAAAAGGATAAGTAGGAATGAATCCAAAGTTTTACTGAAATAGAAATTCCATTTCATTGCATAGTGCTCATTCAAAGAAATTAATGTTATCAATGTTCATTTTACAGAGGAAACAAAAGAACAAATTGAACAGTTGGAACAGAAACTCAAACAGCTTGAAAAAGAGAAACAACAGTTGTTCATGCAACTCAAGAAAGTATTGAATGAGGATGAAATTAGAAAGAGACAACAACAAAAGGAAACTAAGTGAGTATGGGAAATGTTTTGTTCTAATTACAAATTCTCTTTTTTTTTTTCGTTTTTATTTTTCGTAGTTGTTGCCAGTAATTGTAGAGTGTAGTGAGTGGAAAGGTGTGGAAAATTGGCTTTAAAAAGTTGAGCAATAAATAGAATTAATTATCATAATATTTACATATACAAGTTTTAACTACATTTTCACAATATGATGGTTTAAAAAGTTACTTTTAAAGCAGAAGTTAATATAATTTGAATTTATTTATTACATATTCATCAAGATTAAGCCTGTACCTAACAACAGGTTTCAGGGAGCAACTAACAAAAAACTAACAAAAATTTACTAACCACTGCCACTCTGTAGACAAACTAATGATTTTCGAAAAAAACAAAACAGTGACTTTTCCAGCGAGATGCAATCCATGAAGATGCAGCCGATGGGCAACATTCAGATACCAATGTTCCCGCTGTCCACATCCACTGGGCAGGCGGAACCACCTCCACAGGGCAGACCACCCCCTCTTTCCTCTCACATGATGACCAAGGTATAAGTAATTTATTTAAAATGATCTCTACATCATCATCATGCACTTTGCTTTTACTATTTTTAATAACAATCACTTTTGTATGACATTGATTTGGTTTTGCACATTCAATTTTTTTACTAATTGTATGTTGGTAATGCTAAACTAAAACTGCAACTTATTTTTGAAAACAATAATAGTATACTACAGATAAATGAGCACCAAAGTGTTAATATATAACATATGTAATCGCAACAAGGTTTTCTACACTTTGGAACAAGCAAGTAGCTTCACTAGAGGACAGACGGACAGACTGACACGCTTAACGTTTAAGCTCATGAAATACTTTTTTCCTTTTTTTGCTTGACGTTCAAAAGTGCCTACTGTGGTCTTGTTATTGAAATAAATAATTCCGACTTTGACTTCGGTTGTTGGTACTAATAAAAAGCGTGTTTTGATTGAAAATTTGGACAGTTTTAACTAACATTGTTAGTGAACCACTACTACATATAGTTCATTATCACAGCTAGCTCATCAGACCATCTTCACGTAACCAAGTCACTAGTTGCACTTGTTTGTATTATCGTGTTTATTCTCCTTTGTTCAAGCATAAGCATTCAAACCACATGTTGTTCCCACAACAGCAGACTATTGTGCGAGGCCCCATACAATCTGGCGTCAAGAGACCCCGCAGCCCCTCACCGACGTACGCGCTCTACGCGCATCGCTTGCATCAGCCCCCAATGAAGCACCAACAAGTGTACTCCGATCATAGTAAGAACTCTTTGAATTTTACTTACAAGACATAAAAAACGCCAAGCGAAATTATAAGCGTATTCTCAACATTCTTAAAATTTATTTTCCTTCTTTCTTGGTATAATCTAGAAAGCTGTATCTACTCAAATTCGTCTGCAGTAATCTGTAAATTGAAACCTACATTAATAAAGTTCTACAGTTTTTATGACGAGTTGTAAATGTGTGTTTATATGAGTAAATCTTTTACAGAGGTAGAAGATGGCCGCATGGGCCGTCAGATGGCTCGCGCAGTGCTTTGGAACAGTGAGTTACTTGACTAGGTGTCACTGTACGTCTATCGCTTCTCACCCATATGCTTTTTGATTATTCTCTAAGCGTATCCACTTTTAATTTGCTCTTTTTTCCATTTTGTTTCACATAAAAATCTGACACTAATACAAACTTATCTTTTTCCCAGATTTTTGAACTAATTTTATTTCAACCTCTATACATCATTGGTCTTCAAGTATTATCACTTTGGTTTTTCCTTCCCTAACCCAATCCCTGATTTTGACTAACATTTGCATGTAGTTTCTTTTTGTGTGACGCTTGTGAACTTTTAGGCTTCGTTTACGGGGACCTGGCGCGTCGTGCGTTCGTCGTACATTGCTGCAGCGAGCCGTGTCATCACCCGCGCAATCGGAAACATTGCAGCAATGTAGGACGAACGCAAGAAACGCTGCGCAGCGCGTCGTATCGCCGTAAATGAGGCTTTACAGTGTGAATAATTATAAAATCATCCTTTATTTGCTATCCTATCCCATACTGACAAAACCCCGCATTTTCAGAACACTAACAATCGTGATACTATTGCGAAAAAGGTGTATGATTTTATAATTTCTTAATCCACACAATAATAACATTTCCACAGAGCCGTCTCAATACGCATCGAACGTGGGAGGTTCCTCCGTATCATCGAACGCGTATTACGCGATGCCTACGTCTAGCGTAGTGGGCGTGGTGGGGGAGCGCCCCCCTCCTTTACTATACGCGCACCATGCGCACACGCCCCACACGCCCCACACACCTCATACGCCGCACCATAGCCTCATGTACGCGCCCGCGCCACAGCCGCCACAACTGTACCTGGATATGCTGAAGAATAGAGATGGGCAACAGCATCAGGAGCAGAAGAAAGAAGCTCAGGTATGTAGGAAATACTAATCGAGGATTTACAAGAAGTCGGTTAGCTTAACACATTCAGTGCCCCCGACGCGTATGTGCGTTTCCTCGCACGCACATACGCGTCGGGGGCACTGAATGTGTTAATAGAAGTGTTATGTTAGAAGAGGGCATTGAATAATGTGATTTATAGTTAAGTCATCTGTTCAGACAGTATTAACTGTTTACTGTAACAGACTGAAGAAATGATTAATTTCTTAAAAACTGAAAATGAACTCCCGCTGTTTATAATGAACTAACGACCCATCCCAGTTTTGAACGGATAAAATGCTTATACAAAACTCTCCACTATGGTAGATGTTTTACACTTATAAACTTACCTCTTCAATCGTTCTATTTATTAAAAAAAAACCTCATCAATTTCCATTGCGTAGTCCTTAAGCTTAAAGCATACAAAAAGCGACTATTTTATAATATGTAGTGAAATAAAAATTCAGCTACAACCAACAAAATACAAGTTTGTATAACGTTGTTTGATAAAACCCGTTCGATTGTCGTCAGCCACAAGTGCTGATTGGTCTGAGCGAGGCGCACCACCCGTCAGTGAGTAGTGGCGTGGCTTACGCCCAGCCCCCTGTGTCACGACATCTCTCCATCCACCCACCGCCGCAACACAACAATATGCAGGTACAATCAAATACAATTTACGTATAAATAGACCCCTATCCTATAAAATTATGTATCTATTTCGCCTTTATTCCGTTTCAACGGGTTTATTTGTCTGAATTGCGCTATTTCATTTATTTTATAGTTCCTTTTTTATACTATATCTAATAGAGCGCTTGGTTATGTTTACTTATTATTGTAGATTAGTATTATTGTTTTATTTATAAAGTGATGTACTTAACTAATTTATTGTTGCACAAAGTTCCTATTTCGCTATTTTTATTTGCATCTTGCTAGTCCTAGTTTTTGATATGGTTTTCGGTTAGTAGATTGTCAATTGTCGATTTATTTGATGCTTTTTTGTTTATTGTCTAATTTTTAATTTAAAGCCGAAGTTGAAAATGTTCTAACTGTAAACCATTTCAAAATTTGATGCATGATTTTAATTGTAAGTATAGGTTTAAATAATCCGAATCTTATAACAGGATATATGTAGAACCTATTTTCTCTAAATGTGATTGATCAATCATAAGAGAAGTTGCAGCATCTAAACTTGTGATATCCGGGGTTCGATCCCTAGGCACCAAAAACTTAGTAACAGCAAGAATGTGACCCAATCATTCACCCTCCTACCAGGAAATAGCCCATGTTCTGTTAATATGTATTATATTTAACCATTGCTTATTGTCATGTGAGCTTTGCCATTTAAATGATATTTGATCTAAGGATGACCTTTCCCAAGCGTTTCCTACATTTGAAAGTGTTCTGAACAAATAAACATCAATATGACTAAATATTGTTAAAAGAATAATCATTGCTTGACAACTAACTAGATTGCTAATTAATAGGATTACTTTATTATTTACGCTGGACCGCAGTGGGGAACAATCAAAACGTTTAAACGTCGTAACTCTCTGTCTATGTGGTAAGATTCGACGCCAATTTGCGTCTATTTCCACACGCCAACTTTGGCGCCACTGGCGATAATGGAAGATAATCTTAATAACTGGCGTTTTTACTTCCAAAACTGCTTCTGGTGTTAGAAACAATGTTTTACTAATCGCCAGCTATACTGAAACACCAATATCGGCTAGAAATAATCGTTAAATAACCTGTAATTTGGACCTTTTTGGCCATTAAAATGTAGTCCCCCACTGCGAGCTAGCTTAATGTGTGCATACCTTAACATTTTGTTACAAGTTGAATATAATTTTAATGCTACTGGATATATCAGAGCCAAATAGACCGTAGCGGCTTTCCTACTCGCAAACTTTGTAAGAATTTTTTATTTATCTTTACCCTCGTTGTCCTTATGAGGTGAGCAGATTAGGCCTATAGTGACTTTATTTAATACTTTATGCTAACTGGGTTTATGATCACAATGTTTTTGTAAATAAGTTGTTCTGCTTTTGTTAGTATAACTTAGTGCTAGTCGCTCACCTCAGACGCAATATCACTTAGGACAACGAGCGGTTGTGTTGTCCTTTTCAAGACGCCCTTACAGTCCTAGGGCATAATTGTGATTTTTAAACCCAACGGGGATGCTTCATCTGCTCTCCTCAAATATCATAAAAGAGCTTGAAGCTACGAGTTTTAACACAGCTTTTTGAAGTCTGATAAAGCATAAATAATGCATTCAAAAAGTAATAAAAGCTAATTATGCCCCAGAAATTAACTCAGACATAAATGTGTGTGTGTTTTTATTCCCGCCTTTTGACTGCCCTCGGCACAAGCAGACGTCGCCGATTATTCAAAATTTTTCGAAATTGTAACACAAGTTAACGCTTTTGTTTGCATGCTGTTCTCATAATTTTCTATCTTTCAAAGCATCTAAACTTGGAGCTTATTTTTTTTCGACTTCGAATTTTCAAAGCGATATGGACAACGATTGGCCTTAAAGAATGGTGGTCAAAAGGGTAGTTGAGGGCGTTAGGTTAATCGTGTTGTTTGTGTAGACGGGGAAGCCGGGCAGCATAACGCAAGGTTACCCGGTGCAGCAGTCGAGCAACGTGCAGAACCCAAACATATACCCGAACCGACACCGCTACTAGCTAGTGCTCATCCGGCGGCAGGGCGCGCGCGTCCCGCCCAGCCCCCCGTGCACCACATGAAGAACATACTCCTGCGGGCCCTCGTACACCAGCTGTTGAAGTAAACTCTCATAACATACCGTACTGTATTTTTTTACGATAAAGCTACTGCGATATTTTGATTTCATCTGTTAATGTTAATGGCGCTTTCTAAGGTTTTTTATAGTCAAAGTCAAAATCATTTATTCCAACTATACCATAAATAGGTACTTTTGAAACTATAAACTAAAGATAAAAAAATGAAGGCGAAAGACATTATCTTTTAATATAATCTGATATACAATGGCACTTTTGAAAGGCATACGTTATTCAAGTCAAGACTCAGTAAAGCTAATAAATCTAATCATAATCTCAAATTCATAAAATATCTTGACTGGGCTGTCTTGCTTGCACAGCATTAATCTATGGATAGAGAAATGGTCTACCAATGGCCAATGACAATAAAAAGCTATGGCGTATGCTAGCTATTGCCCGTATAATTTTAATGACATTAATTGCGAAGCTCCAAATATATTAATTTTACTGAGGTGCGTCACAAAATGCATACAAGTGTAACAATCGTATGCTACAGTAAAAAAGGTTGTTGTAACTTGTGTTATATTTGTTCATATTTTATGATATAACTTAAGCTTACCCTTCTTACGGCTTCGCTCCCATCATTTGACTACCTAACCTACCTACCCTACCGATCCTACCTACCCTATTTACCCTATCCTACCTACTCTACTCTATCCTTTGTCCTACTCCCAGTTCTTAGCAAATCCCTACCAATTTTAGACCAAATCGGTTCAGCAGTTCTTGAGTTATAAATAGTGGAACTGACACACTTTCTATAACTATAAATTTATGTTTATTTTAATATGATGCGTCTCCACCTAAGCCTACTGAATACATCTTATTGAATAAACAATTTATCGCAGTTAGCTTAATTGTAAACTACATACATTTACTCTTCACTGAATATACAAAAATATAATCAATTCTTGGTCGGTTGGCAAGGTGAGAATAAATGTGGCTTATAGAGATTCTATTCACAGACAGAACACTGTTGATAAAAGGCCTCCGCCTTAGTCTGCCACGTCGAACGACAATCAACTACTTCCGACCAGCTGTAGCGACCCTCAAGAGGTCGTCAGCACTGGAAGGCCTTAACAAATAACACTCATATGACTTAATATAAAAGGTGTTTAAATCAGTGTGGTTGGGATCTTCACTTCAACAATGAATGTACATTTTGTCTACTCAGTGACAGCAAAAAGGTTTAAGTTGTGCAGTGTATGAACTCTTTAGTGAATTCCCAGTGTACAGTGACTATAATGGGTTCTTTTATTGGCAACTCAGTGCTAAAATATAGCCAATAATATAGGTGCTATAAAACATATGTCCATATTTTATACTTCAACGCAAAATAGACTTTGTGTAAAAACAATAGCAATGTAAATCCTATAAATAGACGAAGTCAATTAAAACTTTAATGATTTTATTATATACGTTTATTTTTTACTCGCATGTATGAAATAGCGGATATAGAAATATAAAAGATATTGAGTATTGAAATAGCGGATTAGACAGCAAATAACATTTAAGAAATCGTTTTGTACATTATTAATAGTTATTTCCGATGTCATAAGCAACATATTCTAATAATAAAAGAATGTACACTGTACTCTTATACTACTTCCTTATAGATCTTACTAGAATAAATGTATGCTCTACCGTGTACTCCGAGTGGTCCTGACAAATTACTACTACACCCGGGTGTTTCCTCCTTCGGATCAGAAACAGCTACCCTCCGTGTCTGGTAATTACCTGCGTCAGGCGAAAGCTGAGGACGCCATGGTGTCTCTCAAGCCACTACTCCTCAAAGGGGGGTCTTACCGCTTACCCATAATAGCGTACGCGATTTTGTATAGATAGGATATTAAAAAACGTTGCAGTAGTCATAAGAAAAAACAGGTTTGCAAGTTATGACGGTAAATATTTACATAATCCTCTTGGACCATTCATTGTATTAAGATTACATTTTGTTGCCAATAAAATGCCCAATTTAATATTAAGTTATACAATGCATACGTTAATCGATATTAAGAAAGACTATACTAATATGTATTAAAAATATCACAGTTGAAATTGATTTTGTATCAATTGTTAAAAAATGTTATCATTATCTGAGTGATGTATAAAAATATGGAATATGTTATTGTAAATATGCAATCTGAAATAGGAATAGAATTAATGAGAATAAAATTATCCTCGCTTTCTATGTAAAAAACAATATTATGATAGATCCACGGCTATTAAAGCTTTATTTGATTAATTTAATAACATAATTTAGATTAACTTTTAACAAAACGGTCTTTCTCAATCCAGTATTATTTTATTTATTTATAATTTCAATCGAATATTCATTGATATTTTTAAATGTCTTTGCGCATTTATGTTGTGCCTTTGCGCAAGTATGTTATACCTTTGCGCAACTGTTTTGTATCTTTGCGCAAGTATTTCGCACATTTGCGCAATAGCGATTTTATTTTTGCGCAACCATTTCTAAAACAAGTTTCTCAGGATATAAAATAGAGCATAAAATAAATTATTCAAAGATAAAATATTTTATTACTGATACTTTTAATATATTATCTATTTTTATTCATGATGTACTTACAAAGATTGATTAACACTGTTTTGTTAAAAATGGGATAAATATATATGCCGTATTTTTAGTTTGTGCTGAAGCCATTTTGTTAATTTGCAAATAAGTGGGATAAAACAAAAATATTATTTTATATACCTATTTTATTATAAAAAACGTGAATTAAATTCTTTGACTTGTACATACATATTAAGCCAAATGCTTTCACGCTTTTTGAACATGAACTGTAAAAAAATAGTTCAAATTGCAATCACTTAGTTTGAAATTGATCTTTATTTCGTAGCAAGAAGTGCTGTTTTTGTCGAGTATCCTGTCACTAAATGTGGAGTTGAACTACGTAAAGATGGCGCCTGGTCTGTTAAAAATAAATAGCACTCCTCAAGTATGTGAAAAGTTTACTTTTATGTAGATTTCAGAACACACGGATCTCTTCTTTGTGCGTAAGTACAACAATAGTATTCTTCTGTCTTATTTGTCCTTATGAGAGAAAAACATTAACTAATAAATCCCGTAAGGATCATATCCGTATGCAATCTGGAATCTGCATAAAAGAAAAAAAACATTGTCGCACAGATCTTAGATCAAGTATTCAGATGGATTCCGGATGTTGGAAGCCTAGCATACAAACAACAGAATTGAAATGATGGTAAAATGCTAATAATAACAAAAAACGCTGCTGGTTCTGGTTGAAAAAATATAAGCGTAATGAGTACATGAACTTTTCGTATTAATTAATGCCTTTAAACACCCCTGGAAATTAATAATTTCAACAACGAATTCTTTGTTACCTACTGTAGTCCAAGAAGAACGGAAGACGTTTGTTGTTATCCATGTTGTTTTTATAGATACATAAATGTCTATCTACGAATGTAAACGCGGTTCTACTCTTCAATAAGAACAACGTACAGTTTCCTGACCCTGCACCATAAATTACTCAGTTGGACATAAGACCTCTTTAGAATACTCGTCTTTAACAGTTATAATAGCAAAATGTCTTATCTACAGTTGTCAGATAAATCAAACATAAATAATAATTAGGTAATCAAAGACTCAACATTTCACAAACTCAAGAGCAATAAACAAATTAATTGAATATGTGGGTGAGTTTAATTATGATGTAGTTCTTTGTATATTAATAGCTAATAATATAATAACCTTTTACCTAGGTATCTAATCATGTAGCTGAATATCAGATCTTATTGACCTTCGATCATGCTGAAGGGGGACAAACGCATATATTTCCCCGCATGATTGCTAGTGCATACAGATTAAAATGAATGGGAGGTGGGAGTGAGGTAGGGGACCCCTCTATTTGACCTGCAAGTAGGTCGTGAGCGATCGATGCACTGACTGCATCTTATTCGTACCGGCCGGCCCCCGGGAAAACGGCATCCTGATTGACACAATAAAATATAAATAGTAGCTATAAAACGTGAAGGTATATTTTTGTTTTATTTATACTGAGCAGGAGTTATCGATATACATAGGTTATTGTTTAAGACGCATAATGGGAAAGTAACTACTTGCATCGAGGAATAAGCAGCAATTGTGTAGTCATATCTGTTGTCATAATAATAATCTGTGTGTTAATACCCTTTTAAAGGTAGGTGAATAAATATGTATGTGTAGGTACCTACACACATTCAAAACTAAAAAAAATCGAAATTATAACCCCGTGGAAAAAAAATTGAGGGCGGGAAATCATCAAAATAAATGACATCCCTCGCCCAGGGTAAGGCGAGATTAAGTTCGACTTTAACTGAATAAAACCACCCCGTTCTTTCTTCTGATCCAGACCGAGTCTGCGCTACCTAATTGCGTTTGAACCGCAACCCCGGCTATAGAAAAAGAGCCTACTTGTGTAATCGATCTAAGTATTTATTATTTAATTATGTTGCTGCATGTGAACACTCCTTGTCACGTTTTTATCTGTCGAGTTCTATGTAGGTACATAAGCAAATAACTGAACCGATTTCCCTTCAAACGAATGATCCGCTTACTCGATCTAGCACCGGTGTCTACGTGAGGCTTAGCATGTCAAATAGGATTAATAGTTGGCAACTCATAACGACATTAGTGTCTACAGACACAACGCTAATACCACGAGGGTTTCACCTGCACACCTGCGTCGGAAGGATTAAATTATATAATTAATGTCGCATTTCAAATCATTCATCTTGGAAATGGTAAATTATTATCATTGGTAAAGTGGCAAGGGGAAGAAAACGTTAAACGAAAGTGGATGGAGTGGTCTGTACCTACTTATAGGTCTCTACCTATCCCTATAATGTTTCAAATTGCCCGGCAGAATGGTAAAAATGATGTTGTTTAGGTAGGTTACGATTCCCAGAACCACACAACCAACCAAATACCTGTTGGTAGGTAATTTCTTTATTGTACATTTTTTTGTGAGTGGAAAATCATCGAGTGCCTTCTCCCGCCCAGAGTCGGGCGGAAGGGAGTAAGTATAAGGCTCTTACTGATTAAAATCCCCCCGTTCCTTCTCCTGCTCTCTGGGCCGAGGCCGCGGTGCCTCAGAAATACGCTGGGTAAGTACCTATTAAGTATATCTATGCTTTAAACTTCAAAATGCCTTGAATGTGCACAGCGACGCTAATTTAGACATGTAAGAAGATACTTGCTGCCCACCTCCGTCAAACCTGAATAGGTACCCAGGTAAGTATACCAAATCATGACTCTAGATCTCTCATCTGGTTAGTTTTTTTTATTAATGTATACAATCGTGGCTATGTCGATATCTATCTACTAATGAATTCATAATACCTATTGTTGCATACTCTGGAAACAAAGTTTCAACTCGGGAAAATTCTTGC